TGGAAAGTATCTCAAGGCCACAATACCAAAGTCTGAAATCAAAGCTTTATGAAGTTATTTTCAAGGACTCAGGATTTCAGAAAGCGTTGCATTGAAAGTCATAGCTTTAGCTCAATAAACATTTTTATTTCAGTTTTTGACCAGCATAATTTATTATCCCAGTAGAGACTGCCTTGACTAGCAGTAATTTTTGCCAGATCCTTGTAAGATCCTTGCTGGTATTCGGGAACCCAAAGCCTGTTTTTCTATCAATATTTAATACAAGTTTAAAGCAATTATAAATCTTCTTCAATTACTTTTCATAATTTTTCACTTGTACTTTAATCTTAAATATATTTGTTTGAAAATATTTTCTACTGGGTCTTATTTTCCCTGGTAAGTATGCCTGGGACCAAGCATCTACATATGTAACACCTGACAATTTATAAGCTATTTTGGATTAGAAACTGTTGATAGACTGTAGATATATTACTATTCCATATCTAGAGCAAATTTATTGCTTGTGGGCAGTTTCGTAGTGTGTGGAGATTACTAAAGTTACACCTAATTTGAACATAACGATGGAAAAGCCAACAAGTCATGCATGGATGAAGTATGATGGGTTTGTCTCTAGGCTATCTCAGTTTTTAAACTTTTTTTTTTTGAAAGTTAGTAAAATGTGTTTTATAAACTGAAAATCATTAACTTATATAATGAATGCACACAGGTTGATGTTAAGGAATGCTCATACCAGATTGAATTTGATCCATTCAATAGTTACAAGAAAAATAATGCAATGTTTTTATAACAAGGAATTAAATGCATTGTAGAGATAACTGGAAACTCATTTCAAATTATTTCATAACTCCCATGTAGGTAAGATGAAAGAACTAAATGGAGATGTACCTGAAGAACAACAGTTAACTGAAGATGATCTCGATGTTTTAGAAAAGATGCTATCTATAATGTGCAGTGTATCCATGGAAACACCCACACGAGAGCAGCTGAAAACTTTATGGAAAGCGATTAACTGGCCAAATGGTATGCAGTAATTGTTGAGGACAGATCTCACAAATTATATGGACTAAAGGCAGTGTCTTAATACATCCTTTTAAGTAAGCCATTTTTATCCCACACTTACCTTAGATCGGTACACTCCGTATTTAAAGTTGAGAATTTTTTGTATAGCTACATGCATATTCAATATGCTCTTTCCTTTTGGAGTAAACAACATTATGCGGAGTATTAAAAAAGGAATAAAAAATAAAATGCAAAAGAAATTCAAAGCATGAGAAAGGAGAAAAGAGAATCTAGCTAAAGCTACTTTACCCTAAAGCCATTCATTTTATCCCTCCACATCTTCCTGTCCTTACAAACCATCCTTGTTTCTACTATATTATATGCTGATTCATACCTTGCTTTTTTTTTTCCCCTTTAAAATTCTTAGTTCTCTCTTTTGGAGGATGTGATCTCCATCCAATCATAATTGTTTTCAGTCTTCTCCTTCCTCTCAACTCTTTCTCCATTCATAATATTTACAGAAAGCCCCAAATATATACAGTTAAACTCTAAGCAGTGTAGATGTAAGGAACAATTAAAATCCACATTATATTGGATAAAATTGCCTCTCAGAATCTTCATCATGAACCAAATTTTCATTAAAAAAAGAATGGATTAAAATACCTCCTAAAACATTGGAGGGATAGAAGCCATGCATGCCTCCAAGGGCTGCTTTACATATTGTACAGATAATTACCAAAGAATGCGCCTTCTGGTCTTTCCAGAATTGGAGCCTTCAGCAAGCCCTCCGTAGATGACCTGATTCGGTCATCCTTAGCAGATGACCTGCTAAATGTGACTCTACTATAATTGATGTTCCTGATTAGAAATATGGCCACTACATTCTATACAAGTCGTACCTTCCAAGTCTGTGAAGTTTCTGAAAGATGCCCTAATTAATTCATGAGCCATGAGCCAAACTTCAAAAGAATACAGTCATTTAATAGGACCACCATTTTGGCAATATTCGGATGCAGTTAGAACTAATCCCACGTAGACAAAGTCCTTGTATTTAAAGGCAGCCCCATGTAGGATGTGTTGCAGGTTCCATTCATGGTGATCAAGGCAGGAGTTACAGTTGCTGAGACTTCCTTGTCCAGGTAGGTTTGTAACTGATGTATCTGTTAGAGCTGGGCCTCCTAGCCATGATTTCCACCATTTGCTCCAGCGGGAACCACAAATCCAGGAGCCCCTCCTTCCTCAAATCACAAAAACTGGTTTCATCAGTTTCTGATAACCATCACTGGTTTCTGATAAGAGTTTAATCTTACTTTCAGATGATGATGAATACAAGCTACATAGAAATGTGAATTGCCTTACGAATTCTCATGAAGCGATATAAGCTTTTATAATGCATATTTTTAAAAATTTGATTATAGTTCTCAAATAAGAGTGGATGCCATAAACTTTCTTAGAAATTAAGAATGATGGTAGTTGTAGCACAGTGTTTTGCTATTCTGATAAATGGGTACTTTATTATTCATTATATTCCATAGTTGCCACTGTGTGAATATGCAAGTCTTTGCATAAATCTTTCCACTTCGTAGAATTGCTTGACAAAATTCATGGCATATCTACCAATGAAGAAAAATGGGGAATCCATGTACTAGAACTAACTAAAAGCTGGAAGTTCAGTTTAGCTACGTAGTTGACTAATTGAAAACGCACACAATGAACACACGTTTATGTTTATATAATGCTAGTATTGTTTTCCTCTAGGGGAAAAAAAATGTTTGGGGCCTTTTCTTTATCTGTGATTTCTAAGGTTAGGGTAATTAAAAAGAAAAAAAGCAGAAAGCAGCAGTGGCATATGTCTGTATTTTTGTCAAGAAAATTATATGGCTATGTCCTTAAGGCCACTAGGATGTAGGTTTCACTTACAAGATGAATCGCTTGTGTGCTTTCCATTTCTTGCCTAATCGTGTATCCAGTTTTGCAGTTCTTCCTATCTTCTAAGAGCTTCCTGCTCATGAATAGTTTTATTTGTTTAGGAAATTCATGCAGCTGCCCATCTTCCGAAATGTGACTGTTGTTATAAACAGTTGCTTCTTGTTGCAATCAGTTGTTGGACAATTTAGAAAGCTCAAGGCATAACCCATCTTCTGTAGGCAAGAATGAGCAGATGGGTGAATTAGTTGGTGATGGGGTGACATTCTCAAATTTTCCATTGCTGATATTTATTTGAGAAGAAATATGTTTTAAGAATGGAAAGCAACAGTAAAGTTCTGAGGGTTATGATGCAATATCCATTCTGGGTTTTTTGGCTCTTATTTAAGCCATCTTTCAGAATTGTTTAATTTTCAAGTGAAGTAAGGCAAATATACGTGTCCCAGGATGTTGCAGGATCCAATCTGAGTTGGTCAACGGGACCAAAGGTTTATTTTTCCAAGCTTTTGGGCTCGTGCTGGAGCCCATCCTCAGGGAACTCAGTATACTGCTATATCATCTTACAGACAGGTTAACTTAGATTTTCATAATATCCTATATTCAGTCCATTGTTGCAAATGTTGTGACTTTGATATTAGTACAAACATATATAGATTAATTTCTGGTTAGCCAACTATCTTACTTATTAAATTCAAGTCTCCTACAAGTTGAGCTTGATTCCTGTTGACCTCATGAAGACATACCTAATTTTCTTGGCAACAGTACAGAAGTAGTTTGCCAGAGCTTTCTTATGAAATATTTCTTAATTTCCCAGCCTAGTTTAGTGTTTCCTTAATAGCTCTCCTAACCAATAAGACTTAGATTCAGAGTATGTATGGGTACTAAATAACGGAGATACTATGTGCACACCACATGTATTTCAAACCATTGCTTCCCTTTTATATCCAGATTGCGGAATAGATTTCCAGTCAGGCCTGGTGCTGCTTAGCTTCTGAGCCTAAACATGGTCATCAGCCTAGACATTCTAAATGGAGTCCCTGTGTATGAGTTCATTTTAATATCTATAATGTTTAGTTTTTCCATTTTTGCCAGTGAGAATATGAAATGTGTTCCTGAGAAAACCATTTCATTCCTAACCTTTGGGGAGTTAATTCTGCTCAGCTATTGGAATAGTGAGAGTTACTAATTTACTGACAATTCTGTATAATTTAATAGGAAAACCATTAACTGCTTCTATATTTCTGTTTTTAGACTTTGTCTTTCCAGCACTAGATATTCTTCGATTAGCAATCAGGCACCCCAACGTGAACGAAAGCTTCTGTGGCGAAAAGGATGGCCTTCAGTTCTGTAGTCATCTCATCAAATTCCTGAACACTGGAGGAAAGCAAGCCAACCAGATGCTGGCTCTGCGAATTTTATGCAATTGTTTTATTCACCCAGTTGGCCAAAAGCTCATGATGGCACAGGGGGACTCCATAATGTCACAAGCAATAGAACTGAAACTGAGCAGCAATAAGAACATTCACATTGCACTGGCTACGTTGGCTTTAAATTATGCCGTTTGTCTACATAAGAGTAACAACATTGAGGGCAAAGCTCAGTGTTTGTCAGTGATCAGCACAGTCATAGAGGTAGTGCAAGACCTTGAAGCTATTTTTAGATTGCTTGTGGCTCTTGGGACATTGATCAGTGATGATTCAAATGCTGTACAATTAGCCAAGTCCCTAGGAGTTGATTCTCAAATTAAAAAGTATTCCTCTGTATCAGAACCAGCTAAAGTAAATGAATGCTGTAGATTTGTTCTTAATTTGCTGTAAATCCCTCCCTTAAAAAAAACAAACCACTTGGGAGTCTAGGACTATATCAAAGATACCCATTTTCGTATTTTACAAATAAAAAAAGAAAAAAGAATATTGTGGACAAACTCTCTGGAAGTGAAATGATCTGAATAAATTTTTTTGCACTGATTTTAAAAGTGTTTTTCTTCGAAGTTGTTAAGTGCGTGCTTATTTTAAAGATAATTTTAGTAGCTTCTGTGGGTTAATAGTAACAAAAATTACTAAGGAAATTTTGATTCATTGACGTGTGACACATTTACTGCTGCTTTTCATCAGGCAGAAATCACTTGCAGAATGGATTCGTGTTTCATTAAGTGCCTCCATTTTGGTAAAACCATCTAGAACTATTTGTATCTGGGATTAGATCCACAGGGCTGCAAAGAAGAGGGGACTGAAAAGTTCTCTTGAGCAAGCAAAAAATTTCTCACTATCCACTGAGAGCACTGGAAGGAAAAGTTAACTACATTTAATTTTTCTATTTTGGAAGAAATTGCAGCAATGTGTTTTGATATTAGTTCCTTGCTTATTCTGTGAGCTTTTACATTGTATGACACTACTAATAGTGGTCTTGATTCTTTAAGAAACTGGGATATATCAGAAAGTTGACTTCCCACACACAGAAAATGTCTTTTTAACCACTGTTCCAGAAAAATCTAGCACACCAGGAAATAAGTCTTTTGTATTTCCAGGTGTACTGTGCTCTTTTTCATTTTTAGTTGTCTTTCTATAGAATGTTTCTTCAGAATACATATAGTGCTATCTTTCTCTGAATTCAGTGATAACCTTCCCAGTGTTGAGTGCAGTGTTATCTTCAGCCAGCCAGATTTGCAAAAATAATGCTGCAAAGTATGAGCTGTCTCATTCATATTGATGAAATGCTCATTCTAAAGTCTAAGCCCTTATACCTAAATGTCAGCATTATTTCTTAGTTCCTTATCAGAAACATGCAGCTCCTATGCTTATCATTTCTTGTGGATTTAGAAATGCAGCTGCAATGCTAAATATTCAAATAATTATTTCCATTCGGAATGTTCTCAATTTATTTTGGGAAGTTTTATAGGAGGTGGCTTTTTATTGAAATGGAAATTATAAGTAAATTTTGTGTGAGACCTATCAAGTTTAAAAATCAAAGTCTGAATATCATATTTAACAGGGTTAATAAATTATTCAAAATTTCATATATCCTGCTAAGACATAAACAGATTGCAAACTACAATGTTGGGGGTTGAGAAAATGTGTCAATTATCTACTGTAGCATAAAAAGTAGCTCCAGCCATTATGGCTTAGTGTAGGAATACAACAATTCCTATGTTGTATTTGCTTCCCTGTACTCAAACAACCCCCAAATCATTCTACCATATGAATGTGATATATTTGAAACAACCAAATTGACTAATTCTGATCACAATGAACAAGACAGTAGTTAAAAAATTATGTGAGTGGGCGTCAGAGGGGTCCTTGGTGCTCCCTGAACTTGTTTGTTTTCTTATAGATGTTTCATTACCCAAACTCAGTAAACATCATCCGTGCTTATCATCACTGGGAGTCTATACACTTCCCTAAATTCCAGAAAGTTTTCTTAGACTCAGTGTGGTATAAAAGGAGTGTTCTCAAACTTTTCTGTCTTGGATTTGGTGCCTATATGCAAAACAGTCAGAATGTCATAGGTTAAGTTTGAGTAACAAATAATATCTTAGCATCAGATATTAATCTATAATTGATTTGGTTTGCATAATGCAGCTGAGAGCATTCAAAGTTATGGAAATAACAAAAATGTGAGTGGTTCAGCAGGCGTATATCTTACTGCTTTAGATGGTTGTAGTTCTTTTGCTTTATACAGTTATCAGATGATGATGAAGATGGGACCTTTGACTCTAAAAATCATAGACATTTAAGATGAACACATTACACTCACCTCTCTTCTTTTTAAGAGAGACTGCTGGTATCTACCTTTTTGTATCTATAGTTAAAGGTACAAATGTTTGCTTTGGATTGCTATAAAATTGCCCTATTGCCTTGTTGTCAGTTCCACATTCAAAGTGTTTCAATATTCTCTGCAAATAGTTTTAGAAAGCTACTAGGATTAAGAGAGAACATTTGTAGGCAGATGTTTTGGCTCTTCAAGCAGAATAGATTTACTCTCATTGGAGGGCCAAAGCAACTACCTGGGAACCTGGCAGATAACATTCTTCCAACCCTATAAAAATATTTGAATACTGCATTCCCCTACAAGAAATGGGCAGAAAACATAACCAAGTCTCCAGGGACTTCCTAACGGCCAGCAGGCTCTGTGCTACTTTATGGGACCTTACCAAATGTATTATCAAGTCACAGAATACATCTGAGCTCATGGACTATATAGTTAAAATCATGGATATTCTGTTAAACAATATTGAAAAGGTAAAGGTTTGCCCTACCTAGTTGTATCCGACTCTAGGGAATGGTGCTCATCTCCATTTCCTAGTTCCTTCAGCCAGCATTGTTTGAAGACACTTCCATGGTCAAATGGCTGGCATTGACTATATACTGAGGCACATGGAACACCGTTACCTTCCTACCAAAATTGTACCTATTTATCTAACTAAGGAGAAATTTCCCGACAGAACAATTAAATCAGTAGAACAACTTGCCTCCAGAAGTTGTGAATGCTCCAACAGTGGAAGTTTTTAAGAAGATGTTGGATAAACATTTGTCTGAAGTGGTGTTAGGGTTTCCTGCCTAAGCATGGGGTTGGACCTCCAAGGTCCCTTCCAACTCTGTTATTCTATCTTCTTCTATCTACTTGCAATCGAATGCTTTCGAATTGCTAGGTTATTGGGAGCTGGGGCAAGAACAGGCACTCACCCAATCACATGGTACTTGGGTCTCGAAGTACCAACCTGGTCAACAAGCCAACCTCTTAACTGCTGGGCCCAAAAAAAAAGAAAGAAAGAAAAGGTGCAGTCATGAATCTTTTTGAGTGTTAAGGATTTTTACAAAGATTTTTCTCAAAAATGAGCAATTTATATTGAAAGGAAATACCATTACATTTATGTTTTCAATTATAATGCAACAAGTACAAATAACAGATCTGAGCATGGTGTTCATAGATTCAAATACTGTTTAGACTGGAACCACTGAAATTTATAGATCACAATTGTGATCGACTAAATCATACAAATTGTAGAACCCTACTTTTCACAATACCAACATTGCAAAATTATAAATCAAAGCGAGGACTCTCATAAAATTTTATATTTTACAGGGGAACACACAAATGTCAGCTTTCATAATTATGTTCAAGATTAATAACTGACTTTAAAAGATCAGTTGTTAGGTGAGACAGTGGGAAAAATTAATCATCCATGATTGTTAAAGTACAGAAATCAGATTTGTCCAAGGGGAGTGTACTATAACAATCAAGGATCTATTTTTGGCTTCACTGAGCCCCAAAACCTCAGTCTGACCCACAAAATCTCTCTTTTTTTCATTATTTTTATACTGCTTCCAGATGAAACTACCATCAATTCACAGAATATATTTGAATCCATGAAGTAATTCATGCTTTGTCACCATGAAACTGACCCAAGGAAGAGTATTTATTTTCATTAAATCACTTAAGTGAAATCAAATTTGATACAGGGTTTTTGTTGATTGCCCTGAACTGCACATAAACACAAGAAGATACCCATTTTAAATAAATACATGGATTCTTAAAGAATGTCAGGCTTTTATATATTTGGATGGTTCCATGAAGAGCAGAATTTATTAATTTTTGTAGGTTATCATATTACGGAAGTTGTTATTAACCTGCATGTTTCTTTAGACCCTCTATCTATCCTATCTAGGCTCCCTTTTCATGGTACGACTGCTTATTTCAGATCTTCAAAAAAGATCCCTGTTCGTTATAAAATGCTGGCATTTATTCTTTTCACTTGTATGATAACCAATGAGCCTGGGGAATTTAGGATGAATCAGAGTACTGGATGTGGGCTAGATGGGAGCAACCTGAGCAATTGTTGAAGCCAGAATAGTTTTAAGGTCAGCTTTGGACTGATAATACAGGTAGTCCTCAATTTATGACCACAATTGAGCCCAACATTTCTGTTGCTAAGTGAGATATTTATTGAGTTTTGCTCCATTTTTCTTGCCACAGTTAAGTGAATCACTGATGTTGTTAGTAACACGATTGTTAAATTAAAATGGCTTCCCCATTGACTTTGCTTGTCAGAAGGTTGCAAAAGGGGATTACATGACCTTGGGACACAGCAACAGTCATAAATATGAGTCAGTTGTCAAGTGTCTGAATTTTGATCCCATGGCCATTGGGATGCTGAAATGATCATAAGTGTGAAAAATGTCATTTTTTCAGTCACGTTGAAAAAGTCTTGTCACTTTTTTCAGTAAACTTCGGTCACTAAATGAACTCTAAGGCGAGGACTACCTGTAACGTACCATACATGAAGGCTCAGTAACAAAAAACAAAACCTCTTTGCCAATTGCTTTCAAAGAAAAGATGCTTCTTTCTCTCTCTGTCAGATTTCTATCTCTATGGCGAACAAGTCGCAAGAATGACGTAAGCAAACTGCGACAGGTGTCCAGCTGAGCGTAACGCTGACCCCCACCAGTCCGCGAGATGGCTGTTTGATGCGGTTATTTATTTTTCAAGACGCTTTAAAAGGAACTGCCACCGTTTCGGGGTGGCGGGCGCCATGACGGGCCGTAAATTCTCTAAAGAGAAGAAGCGACATCGCTCCCGTTTAAGCGGCCCAGAGGAAGGAGGTGGCAGCGAAAGAAAACGGCGGAGTACCGAGGCAACCCGCGGCCTCGCGGAGGTATCTTTAACAGTCCATCAGCCTTGCGAGGGGAGAGCGGCTGAATCGCGCAGGCGCGGAGTCCAGTTAGCGGAGTCACGTGACAAAGAGGCGTGGCTTCAGCCTCTCCCTTCGCGCGCCTGTTTTGGCGGGATAACGGCTGTCTCCTTTTTACCTCTTTTAAAACTCGCATCACATAAAAGGGGGGGGGAGCAGAAAAGCCACTAAGGGAAAATCCGTATTTTAGTTCAATCAAATCAAAAGTGGGGTGGCAATCAAATAAGTGATTAGATTGTGAAGTATGCTCACCGCATCAATTAGCATTTCTTACTCAGAAAACGTCTATGCAACCTTTCCCAATGTTTTTGCCTTATGCCTCAAATAAAACTTTTGAACATCGAATGATGGGATGTGGTGGTTTGACTTGAGCAAGGAATGCGCAAAAGGAAAACATTTAACAATTGTAAAAACACGGTCTTCCTGCAAATGTGAGGTGGTGGCTGTAACTGGCAGGGGTCTGCATTACTGTGTTTTTACTACCGTAGTATAATTTGAGATTAGGATATAGAGGCAGAAGTTAATATCTGGTAGAAGCAATCCTGCAAGGCAAGTAGAGAGCTGTCTCTGCAGAATATCCTACTGTACTACTCCAATTTACTTTTGTCTTTTTTGAGTGGTGGCCACATTTGTAAACTAATTTGGCTCCCAATGGGGGAGTGCCACACTGGAGGTGGTTGATGAATTAAGAGACAATCCACCTCCCCACCTTGCGCATCCTGCTCCATCCCTCCCCATCTTTTAATTATAACTTTATCTTTGATTACAATTCCATTATATTTCCATTTTTACCATTTTTGAAATATTTATCCTTTATGGTTTTAATGTTGTAAGCGGCCCAGCATAACATCTAAATGAGATGGGCAGAAAATAAATAAGTAAGTAAATAAATAAAAACCATCAAACAAATTTATTTATTTATTATTTATTTATTTATTAATTAAATTTCTATACCGCCCTTCTCCAAATAGGACTCAGGGCGGTGCACAGCCTAAGTAAAAACAGAGCATACAAAATTTAAAAAACAGTATTAAAATAATTAAATATTTTGGCCGTAAATTAAAACAACCCAATTTAAAATCAATTTAAAATTTAGCTCAAGCCAGCCCAGCTAGTTGAAATAAATAGGTTTTCAGGGCCCGACGAAAAATCCGGAGGTCTGTTATTATATGTAACTCTGGGGGAAGGTTGTTCCAGAGGGTGGGCGCCGTCACAGAGAAGGCTCTCCCCCTGGGGGTCGCCAGCCGACATTGTCTGGCGGACGGCACCCTGAGGAGAACCACTCTGTGCGAGCGTACTGGCCGGTGGGAGGCTATTGGTGGCAGAAGGCGGTCTCATAAGTACCCTGGCCCTAAGCCATGGAGCGCTTTAATAATTTAAATTATTATTTAATAATAAATAATACACATCTAATGGGAGGCAAATCCCTGTTCCATGTGTATTCATTCATAGTCTTATGATCTATTGGCCTTTTCTATATGTTTGAATTATGATTTTGGTCTTCCTACTTGGAAAGAATACCACTGAGCATGATGTGATGTCTAAGTAATAGCACATATAATTTGTGTTATTGCAAACAGTCCTCAAGTTATGACCCCAATTGAGCCCAAAATTTTTGCTGCTAAGTGAAACATTTCTTAAGTGAAATGCCTCAGTTTTGCCTTAAGTTTTGCCTCACTTTATGACTGTTTTTAAATGAATCATTGCAGTTGTTAAGTTAGTAACACGGTTGTTAAGAGAATCTGGCTTCCCCATTGACTTTACTTGTCAGAAGATCACATCACATTACCTAGGAACACTGCAACTGTCATAAATTTGAGTCAGTAGCCAAGCATCTGAATTTTGATCATGTAACCATGGGGATGCTGCAATGGTTGTAGCAGCAACTGCATGAAAAACGGTCAAGTCACTTTTTTCAGTGCCATTGTAACTGAACGGTCACTAAATGAACTGTAAGTTGAGGACTACCTGTACATCATTAAAAAAGGAATGAATATTGTTATGCAGTATGTTAATAACTCTGTGACTTTTTAATAAATTTAACTGCAAAATCTAGATTACATTTTGGAATGATATTATATCCAACAATTATATTCTAAGTATCAGTGAAAAAACATATTTTAAGCATCATAGCATTCCAAAATCTATGTATATAAAAGTGAAAACCACTCATGCCATAATCACAAAATCTCCAGAACAGTAAAGCCTACCAACTTGAAATTTGCCACATATGTTTCTCTTGGCTTCTAAGTGCTCACTAAGAAAGTATTTTTCCAAATGACCATCAGAGCATTAGTATTTCATATACAATATTATATTCATATGCTCTGATGCTAAGGAGTTAGACATTCTATCCCCCTCCCCACCTGAAAGGAACTCTGTCCCAACTGCCAGATGCCTTATATTAACACGCTTTGATGCTACCCCATCGCTAAACCGGGCATGGGCGTGGCCAGAGCTTGACTCATCCGGCCTGCGGGCTAGGACATTCTACTCCCCCTCCCATTCTGTTCCAACTGCCTTATATTAACATGTTCTGATGCTATGGAGTTACATATTCTACATTAAGTTTCAGGCTTTAAGTGTCAATTTATCAAGCCCGATCACATAGTTTCGTAGCGAAGCACGAGTGTCCAGCTAGTAAGTTATAAAACACATTGCTCCAAATGACTTCATCATATCTTATGGATCTCAGTATTGATATATTGAAAATACTGTACCTGAGAACTTCCAGTGGTAATTACTTCCAGTCCTACATTTTATGCTACCCTCTGCTATTTTTGCTTGTGTGAGCTACTATTGTTTTGAGGTCAACTCACCCTATTTCAATGCTTGTTAAAATGTATCCTTGGCTTTTCCTTTAGTGGCTTGCTTGCTTTGTCCTGCATGTTCAGTCCTTTGCTAAATTATGGAGCTAAAATGGTTATTAGTTTGTGACTTTTTTCTGACCTCTAGTAATGGATCTTTGGATCTTTTTATCCTGGTCATCTTCAAGTTTTATAATCTTCTCTAATCTTACATTCATTGCCTTATCTTTCTGTATGGAGCATTTCTCTGCAGAAAATCTTTCACTTTGTGATAATCAAAATAATTAGTAAACAAATAATATAATAGTTCTCCTTAATTTTCTCCAGTTCCTCTTTTTTCCAATATCTGGTTCAATTTTTCTTCCTCTCTCAGGGAACTTTTAAAGAGTTTGATTTTCTTTGAGACATAGGTCTGATTTTTTGTGACTCTCTCTACATCTCCTTAGATGTTCAAAAATATTGTGTCTCCCTTAAATGACCCAATACTTTATCCTTCATTTATTTCTTAAAACATATAAATTGTTCCTTGGAGTATATGCAACAATATAACAAAACTATATATAAAACATTATTGGTTTCTATTATTGCTTTTTTATTCTGCCAATTAGTCTTATATAATGATAACCTTATTCTATTAGTCTTCCTTTCCAACATTCATTTGTAAACTCCTTTGCTGGCCTTATGATCTTTCAAATAATGTTGACATGCAAAATTGAGCAGCTTAATGAACCATATTAAAATATTGTCACTGAATGTGTCATAACTTAGAGAGTGTTATGATGTTTAGACTATACAACAGTAGGAAGCAATTTTAGAAGCTTCATTGATTCAAACTGCAATTCTATATGGATTCACTTGTGAGTAATCTATACTGAACTCCATGAGACTGAACTGTCAGTTCTTTGTCATAATTTATTTGCTGAGAATACCATATAGTCGATCAAGTATATATTGGTTATTTTTGTGTGTGTCATATTTTAGGAAACCAAGTGTATTGCTCAGGTTCCAGAAAAGAAAGATGTGGTAGAAGAGCCCAGCGACATAGAAGAAGGTGGACTAGATCTGACTGTGCAATTAAAGCCTGTCAGTTTCTATATTACGGACAAGAAGGAAATGCTTCAGCAATGCTTTTATATCATAGGGGAGAAGAAATTGCAGAAGATGTTGCCTGATGTTTTAAAGGTATTGAAGTATATCAATTAGAGCTGTGCAAATTCTTTTAAAAAACGGTGCCTCACAATACATTGGAACACACATGAAATACTTTTTAAAAAAATGATTAAAAAGCAAATATGTTTTTATCCATGAAGTGTACTAGTTGTGCATACCCATGCCAAGAATAACTTCTGAAATTAGCCTCAGGAGCCTAGAAAAAGATGTAGCTTTTAAAATTGTTCTTAAAAAAGTACTTCATGTGAATATCTATGTTATCACATTTAAGAGAAGACTGAGTATATGCATGTATGTATGTGTGAATATTCAAACACATGAATGAGATATGACAAGTTAATAAAAATTTAAATACAGTTTGATTTTAAATGTAATAATTTAAAACTCTTACTATATCGTTTTATCACAATGATGAAATTACAGTGCTTATGGCATTGCTACAAAAAAAATTAAAGAAGAAGAGTAGAAATGAAATGGTATCAGTTTACTATGACTAAACTGCAAATCTGGGACTGGGCAGGTAATCTGTGGTCTGTAGGATATGTTGGTTTTCATCCTTTGGTGATGGGTGGGTAAAAGATTCCCACATCAAATTTTATGTATGATTCTTTTAATGAGTCATAACCATGACATAATCAGAGCAAAAATGTTACTTATATGATCATATAATAATTGTGTTTGTAGGATATTCTGGAAAAATATCCATAGATATCCATTTCATAGTAAATATGAATAGCAAAATGTTCAGTATGAGAACTATGTGCAATGCAATATAAGTATCTTTATTTGATACTTATTTGGTTACTGTTCAGATGTGCATCCATTTTGTTAGCACTTCAGTGTAGGGTAAGGTGACCAGATTTTAACATTGGTAAAGAGGGACATTGTGGGCGTGGCTTATTTTGTGGGTGTGGCTAGCTGGTCATGTGACTGGGTGGGCGTGGCTAGCTGGTCATGTGACCGGGTGGCCATGGCTATGTGTATAGGGACTACTCAGAGGGCTGAAAAGTCATTTCTGACAGGTCCTCACACTTTTGACTGGTCCTCACACTTATGACCATCCTCACATTTATGCCCGCGCAGTATTCTTAACAACCATGTCACTCATTTCACAACTGCTTCTCTTAACCATGGTGAAAAGATAGGGCAAAAACGTAAAATGTGAGGACAGTCGTAAGTTCGAGGACTGGTCAAAAGTGTGAGGACCAGTCAAAAATAACTTTTTCAGCCCTCTGAGTAGTCCATATGCACAAAAGGACTAACCAGAGGGCTGAAAAAAGTCATTTCTCACAGGTCCTCGCACTTTTGACTGGTCCTCACACTTATGACCATCCTCATATTTATGCCCATGCAGCATTCTTAACAACCATGTCACTCATTTCACAACTGCTTCTCTTCACCATGATGACAAGATAGGGCAAAAATGTAAAATGTGAGGACAGTCATAAATTCGAGGACTGGTCAAAAGTGTGAGGACCAGTCAAAAATAACTTTTTCAGCCCTCTGAGTAGTCCATATGCATTAAAGGATACAGCAATAGAGAGGGATGAAGGAATGGAAATTAGAGTAGGAGTGAGGGTAAGAGAGGAAGGAAGAGAGGAGGAGAAGGAGAAAGGAAGAGGAAGTAGGGAGGAGAAAAAGAGGGTGGGGGGAAGAGAAAGTAAGAAGGAAAGAAAAGAGAGTGGTGGTAGGTTTGAGGAGAAAGATTGCTGTACAATAAAAAAGATGAAAGGGAAGAAAGCCAACCCCAAGCAAATATAAAGATATTAAGATTAAGAATGAATTGTTAAACTTTAAAGAATAAAAGAGAACAAATATGAATAAATAGCAATAATTAGAAACACACATACAAACATACAATGTATTTTCTTTGATCAGAATATTTGGCTGGTTCACAAATTTAAACAGCGTTTAGTCATTTCAATTAAATTTACAATTTCTATATTTCCTTTTTGCCATATTTATTCCTCATCTATTTTTTTAAAAAAACAATATTACCCTTCATCCTCATCTCTAATCTTAATCAAATTCAATTTTTCCCTTCTATTCTATATTATACCCCTTCCCATTGTCATCTATTTTTATATCCATCCTCACATTGGTTAATTATGTAATTATGTAATACAGTTGTTTAATACAAATTCAACATTTTAATATAAATCAATTAGTTATATAACTATTTTTTTTTGTATATTAATCAATATGAACATGAATATTCCAATTATTTCCATGCAATCCAATTTCTTACAAATCAATTAATTATATTTACCAATAATAATAAACCAAATAATTTCCCCCATATATTCCTCCAAACCACAACTTAACCATTTCTGCTTTCAACACAACATACAATTATTAATAGTATCTCAATTATTACAATTCCCTAGTTAAATAGAGCTTTTTTTCTTTTGTGTTTTAAAATCTTGAACTCTCCTCTTTTGCCCAAAATTTCCCATTGTTTGCAGTTTTGTACCTACCTTTTTTGGTGGGGAAAAAGAAAAAGAAAGAAATCTCTCTCTGCCTCATTTTGTCACGTTGCAGCTTTACTTTCGCTTTCGCCTTTGTTTTCAGTATAACTAGGGGGAAAAAAATCTGCCCCAGGAACTTTTTGCAGCTTTTTGCAGCTTTTTGCAGCTAATTAACCTAGTGGAAGCTGTTAACAGGGGCTGTTTTTTCTATTTTTGCAGGCATGGGTCTATTCATTTTTTTTTAACACTGATCAGCTGTAGGTCGGCCCTTTGAAGCCCCGCGGCAAGAGTTTAAAGAGTTTTTTTTCCCTCTAGCCATCAGCGGGGATTCAGGAGGCAGCTGGGACTCAGGAGGCAGAATGAAAAATCGGGACTTTTTTAAAATGCCGCGGGACGCGGGACAAATTGCTCAAAAGCGGGACTGTCCCGCCAAAAGCGGGACGTCTGGTCACCTTAGTGTAGGGACCTTTTTGAAATATGGTAAATTGGGTAAAATAACATAGTTTAGTAAGCCAGAATTTAAGAGTATAGAATGTAAGATTTGCCAATTTGATTTAAATCAGTTTTAAACCTCCATCATCATCTGGAAAGACTACCTTTAAATTATTGCATTTTTCATATTCAAAAAGTAGCTTTTTGCATTCTCTGCCTGTGAGTGACATTCCTTTTTTCAGTTGAAGTCAGGTGTGGCTTCAGTTTATTTTCCTCCAAATTGTTTCCCAACTCTGCACATTTTAGAAAAGGTTTTACCTACCATATATTTTTGAAAGGAAATTAATGTTTTCTGTTTGTTTTCTATTCCTTATTGCAATATCACACCAACATTTGAATATCTTTAGAACAAGACATCTGTATCTCAGTCTTACAACCCTGCCAATTATAGTAGGCCTTTTTTTTACTGATTAAAGAAGTTCTCACTGATTCATCAAGAAAGCTGTAATTGATTAACCTGCCAATTAAACTCTGCACCGTTATTTGGTGTGTATCTTATATAATTGTAAGATGGTTGAGTAGTAGTTTATATGGATTAAATAGTTCAGCTATTAAGACTGCTGTAAAGGCAGCTAATGTTTATATATTTGTATATGGATGTATATTATTAATTTCTATGGTATAAATGCTGATATACAGTCCTTGGGATAAATCAGACTGGAAATGTAAATAATGTTAATTACTGTGGCATATGGAATAATGTAATATATAATTACAGCTTTTCCAAGGGGATATTGAAATTTTTCTTTAATTGGACATAACACCAGATAAGAATGTGGCAACCTGGCAGTTTATAAATAAGTCATTTATAATTAAAGAACATACTACTCCCAAAGGATTTTTGACATCTTTGCCTGGAAATAACTAACTAGAAATCAGAAGCAAGCAGGATTTAAAAATAAAACGGAAACAACATTACTATTCAGTGCTTCTTAAGAATATTGATGAAGCTTTCAGTAGGTGAGAAAGGCACTGATGTTCAGTTGTGATTTCCTAAATCTATCTCTGTTTTTCTTTAAAATAATTACTTTTGTAAAATTGTTTTTAAAAAATCAAAAATATTTTTAAATTAATTTTTTTTTAAAGGGACAGATCAGTAATTGTAAATTTTTTCAGCATACCCCAAAACAAGGGGAATGCCTGTTTAGAAGACTGCAATAGAGATAGTCTTCCTAGAAGACTACTAGGAAAAAGTTGAGATGGTTGGCATGGTTTCAATGAGTGAAACTGCTGGACATTTGTGGGATTTCTTGACCCCTTAACTGTTCACACAATTAAAAAAAGCTACACCTCTAATATTGGAGATGCTTTGGGGCCAGGAAACACAATGGAATATCTAGAATGGCTGACCTATGATGTCCATTCATAAAATGGCTATGGTGATGATTGCAAGTTCCAAATCTATTTCAGGCAAGGGCAAATTACTAGGGCTGAAAAAATAGTAACTTGACCACAAAACAGTTTAACTGAACATAATTTATAGTTCATTTTTGTAGTTAGCCAAGAACATTTTTTCTCTTTGATCAACGATTGATATATAAGATACATCCCAACATGTATCTTTTTGCATCAAATGTGGATCCCAACACATTCTCTCTGTTTTGTATATTAAGGTAAAGGTAAAGGTTCCCCTCGCACATATGTGCTAGACTCTAGGGGGTGGTGCTTATCTTTGTTTCAAAGCTGAAGAGCCCGCGCTGTCCGAAGACGTCTCTGTGGTCATGTGGCCGGCATGACTAAATGACAAAGGCGCACGGAACGCTGTTAACTTCCCACCAAAGGTGGTCCCTATTTTTCTACTTGCATTTTTTACATTCTTTCGAACTGCTAGGTTGGCAGAAGCTGGGACAAGTAACGGGACCTCACCCTGTTATGCGGCACTAGGGATTCAAACCGCTGAACTGCCGACCTTTCGATTGACAAGCTCAGTGTCTTAGCCACTGAGCCACCGCATCCCTGTTTTGTATATTACTGATACATAAACTGCCAATTTTTCCATATAACTCCACATGATCATTCTGTTTTCAGTGAAAACAATTAGTCAATAGAACAGCTTGCATTCCAGAGTTGTGGCTACTCCATTGTTGGTGGTTTTCAAGAAAAAATGGACAACCATTTGTCTGAGATGGAATAAGGACTCCTGCAGGGGGTTGGACTAGAAGACCTCCAAGGGACCTTCCAGCCTTATGATTCTATTGGATTGTTTATGTAAAACGTGTTTAATCCATAATGCTAATTACTTATGCCAATAAATATAAATTATTGACTATATTTTTTAAAAAATTAGCCACTTTAGAAAACTCTTTAAAATCATCTAAAAACAGCAGAACAAGTGGAGTTCCAGTATACTGAGCATAGTTCACTATATTTTATAGTTTTCTAATTTAATCCAATATATGTATTTTAGATTGATAAAAATAATATATAATTACTTAAATATATGTTTAACTTTTTGGTCAATAGTTTAATGAATATTTATCATGATTTAATAGTGTATTAGGTTTGTATGTTATCATTTTAATTGTACTCCTTCTATTCAAAACATAATATTCATGTTCCAAATCATGCATATCTGGATTTCTATTATTTTTACATTGTTTTATACACTATTTCATTTTAATACTACTATTCAAAGTCAACTTTTCAGTTCCTTGTTTTAGTGAGTTTAGGTTTAATTAGTAATTAATTATGAGATTTTAGTTTGTTTCAAGCATGTTTAAATTTAGCTTATCTAAAGTATCTCTTGTTTTAATTATTGTATAGAAACATTTCTTTTTTATTTAATTTCCTTAGAACTGTTCTATAGAAGAAATTAAAAGGCTTTGTCTTGAACAATTGGACCTTATGTCTGAAAAGAAGTTACTGAAAATTCTTGAAGGTAAATAACATATATACTGAACTAACATTTGGATTGCTTATTCTAAAATTTGAGAGTAACAACTATTGAAGACTAGATGAGGACACAGCTTTGTTTCAATTAAGAAAATTAGAAATATTTTTGTAGTAAAGAACTAAATACTATATTTATATAGATTTTATAAATTTATATAGATTTATATAAATTTATATAGATTTTAATTGTTTTTAATATTTGTATTTCATGTTTTTAATTCTGGCTGTGCACCGCCCTGAGTCCTCAGGGAGAAGGGCGGTATATAAATTGAAAATAAATAAATAAAATAGATAAATAAATATATAAATGTATGTTTACTAAGATGTAACTTTTACTGACTTCACCAGGATTTCTTTGCAAATCATATATATTGTCTGGAAATATACATATATGATTAAAACCTATGTGTCTTTCTAGACATCAATTATAGCTACTAAAATCAGAATTTAAATATCTGAATTAGAGACAACAAGAGTTTAAAGCCCTCTATTTTATGTGGTGCCATTAGATTAATTATTGCGCTTCAAACTATGGAGTAATTCATACCAAAAGGAATCAGTAACCTTACAAAGTTTGATCATTTTAACTCTATGAGTATTTAGGTACATTTGCATCATCTGAAAAAAGAAACATCTTTAGTTTTTGTCAAGTCATAGGTAGGATCATATAAACTACCTTTCCTGCAGAAGAAGAACAAAAAGATTTAGAAGAGAATTGGAGACTGATGGTACCGCAAAATAGAACAGCAGCAGGAAAAGTGAGAAAGAAGTGGCTCCTACTGCTGGGTTATCTTTTGATCTCGCTTAGGGCTCCTCCAAGCACTTTCCAAGTCCATGTGAGCCATGGCAAGAGTGAGACTGAAAGGCATAGGCAGGTGAAGGAGCAGATAAGTTTTCTTTGGAATTTAGGGGTCTATTTATTAAAAAAGTTATTTCAAATACTGAGTTACTTCCAATTCAAATCTCTTTCCTAAATCAGATGGTACATATTGGCTCATGTCACAATCCAAGTTCAGCTGGGAACAAGAGGGGGGTCTAGAACAACTTGGTGTGGCCAACCCGCCATGGCCAATTCATGGCGGGATGACTTGCCGTGGCCAACTCACCCTGGGCCAACTTGCTGAGGGACAATTCAACAATTCAATTTTAAATATTTTAAATATTTAAAAAAAGATTTTAATATCTGAAATTCACATTTCGTTTTGTCCCTCCATTTGCATCCATTTTTTAATGATTCTATTCCACCATTTCTTCAATATTGGTGTAACTCTTGTCTCACAGCAAGTTTTCCTGCGGCAAGCTGACTGTGGCGAATTGTCCTGCAGCAAGTTGGCCATGGGAAGTTGGTCATGGGAAGTTGGCCATGCCGAGTTGCCCACACCGAGTTGTCCTAGACCCCACTGTTGTTCCCAGCTGAACTGGGTCTGTGACATGAGCCAATATGTACCATCTGATTTAGGAAAGAGACTTGAATTGGAAGTAACTTAGTGTTTGAAATAATTTCTTTTCTTGACCAAGTTACCAGAACCTTTGCCTCATTTTCTAAGACTGATTACTTGGACCTGTAATGTGGTTTGTATACTAATCTTGTTCTTTTCTGCTGAGTTATTTTGCTGCTTGATGATAAATCCTGTCTCTGCTTCATCGTTGTTCTTGCTTGGCTATATGAAAAACCTAGCAAATCCTATCTGCCTGCCCAAAAGCTCAGTTATCCTGTGTAGGAGCTTAGCACTTTGGATGGAAAGAACAAATGTCACATGGCAGGGGATATAAGTGAAATTAGAGAAATGGAGGCCAGGAGACAATGTTTTTCTGTCACTGTTATTGGAATAGTCTTTCTGAGGTTTGTTTCATATTTGTAACAATCCAGAAACTAAATAAAATGGAACTCTTATGAAGACTGATTGGTAAATAGTTCTCTATTGTCATTTTTAGTTTATCTTCAAATTATTTAAGTTGATTAATTATGTTATTTTAGTATTGATTTTGTTATTACCCTGTTTCCTCCAAAATAAGACATCCCCTGATAATAAGCCCAATTGGGCTTTTGAGTGCATGGCAATAAGACCAAGCGCTTATTTCAGGGTTCAAAAAAGTATAAGACAAGGTCTTATTTTTGGGGAAATGCGGTAGTTTATTCATTTTTATGATTAGTATTATTTTAATTGTGCATTTTTATTAATAATTAGTTGTTTTTTATTTATTTTATCTTTTATGTAAGTTTAGGAAACTGCCATGGTCTCTTGATTTGGTGAAATGGAAGTAGAACTATTTATGCTGTATTGGAGAAAAGTAGAAGGAACGAACTATCAAATAAGTCATTTGTTTTTTAATTATAGAAAATTTTAAAGATGGGACCCTAGAGCATTGCCTTGTCCTATGAGCTAAGCCTCTACTTTATCTATCTTAGTGGTGTTTATTCCACCATGAATGCCCTCCATATTTATAGTGTTTAATCCCCAGAATTATCTGGACAGCTTAGTCATTGGGAGTTGAAGTTGTTCATACATCTAACGGGCGAGAACTTGTTGCTAAGTGAGACAAGTAAGTTAAGGGAATTTTGCCCCATTTTACGACTTTTCTTACCACAGGTTATCAAAGGTTGTTAAGTGAATCACTGCAGTTGTTAAGTTAGTAGTACGGTTGTTAAGTGAATCTGGCTTCCCCATTAACTTAGCTTGTCAGAAGGTCGCAAAAGGTGATCACATAACCTTGGAACACTGCAACTGTCATAAATATGAACCAGTTGCCAAGTGTCTGAATTTTTATCATGTGACCATGTGGATTCTGCAACGATCATAAGTCTGAAAAACAATCATAAGTCACTTTTTTCAGTGCCGTTGTAACATTGAACAGTCACTAAACAAAGTGTAGCAAGTCGAGGACTACCTGTACTGACATGTAATAACTATCCCTACAATTTCTAATTCAAGATTTGGCAACTGATCATTTCAGGGATTGAAACCTAGGACTTTTTTTCATGCAAAGTATACAGAAAGCACTGAATTTTCACGCCAAGTGTCTTCTCCCTTATTCCTGTGTCTTACAGAAAGAAGAGCAACTCCCATTTTTTTATATCTTCCAACTGTTCATCAACATTGTCTGTCTATGAAAATAGCCTTTCAGTTCATTCCTCAAGTATATAAACCAGCTCAATCTTCTGCCAGACCTACAGATACAGGAAATTGTATTGCAGGAGAGAATGAGAAACCAGTGCTGGGATTTGAGGAAGATATTATATGATTTGGATGAAATAAAGCCAAAGTCTGAATAGAAGTGAAGTGATGACAGGTGTTGATAGAGAAGGTCAGTTATTTTAGGGAAAGCAAGATAGGACTAGAATATAAACATCAAGCATCCATTTTCTTTGTCCTTATGAAGGAAGCATAAATTCTATTTTGTAATTGCAGTATGAATAGAGATTTGCCAGTGCCCTTACTTGGCATCAAGGGCAGCTCCTCCCACTAATGGTAGATGTGATTACTGAGACATTGTTTGGATATTGAATAGCTCAGTAGTCCCAAATGTATAGATATGGGCATTTAAAGAAGCACATGCATTAATTATACTATGCTTTTGTTGTGTGATACATTTATATATTCCTAAAGCAGTGGAGTCTTTTTTGAAATTGTGGATCCCCAATGAACACTAAGGAAAAAAGTGTGTTTGCATATGCAGCAGACAAATACAGCAATTGTCTATAATATAACTAGAATAAGACACTTCTAGCAAGTGTAGGGAAATGTAGCTGGAATCTCTCTAAATATGGGGATATTTAAGATTAATATTTTCAGAATCAGAGTTGCTCACAAATGTAATACTTTTTTCTTACTTTGCAAATTAAAAATTGGAAGTTGTTATGTTCATCTTAATGAGGATTGGTTTTGTTTATTCAAATTACATGGTTGCACAGTTTAAAATACCAGGGCAGTTTAAGAGCAAATTTAGAACCAAGTGCAGTATCAAATCTTAAAAACAAGAAGGGACAATCACTCAGTGCCATAAAACATACTCTAAAGATGTCTCAGATTTTGTCTCACTTGGTGTCCTGGCCCAATTTTTATGGGAATAGCCAGCTCTTCAATGCTTTCTGAAAGGCCAACAGGATTTCCATTTGTATTTTGGGAGATAAGCTGTTCCCTATTGGGTGGGGTGGGGTGAGGAGGTAAGCAGGCGCCATGGCAGGGAAAACATTCTTTCTGAGTCCATCATATAGCATTGCTTGATGGAAAGGACTTGGTATCTGCCAACTCTGTTGGATTTGTTGGGTTGGACTTCCCAGGTAAACCATACATGAAGCACAACTAGATGAGTAAGTCTACTTTATTGTAAGGCTACTTTAACAGAATCTTGCAAGTCTAAAAATGCAGACTTCCTGCCTGCCACGTTTAACTGCTAGACCTGTTAGGGCAAGTCTTTTCTAAGTTTCTTTCTTTGACCATTCAATGATTGTGGGCTTCTGTCTTTCTTGTCTGATAGTTTCCCAGGCAGCATCTCTTCTCCCTTTATTTATTTATTTATTTAATTAATTAATTAATTAATTAATTAATTAATTTATATACCGCCGTATTCCTAAGGGACTCAGGGCGGTGAACAGTGAACGATAAAAATACATGTAATACAAACGTTAATAAAAAAAAAAACCAATTAAAATATACTAAACACTCTGGTCCTAGATAATTCAAGACATCCCAGTTTAAAATAAAATCAAAAAAGCAATATAAAGGGAAAGTTAGGCCAGGCCGGCCTGCTGAAACAGGAATGTTTTGAGGGCACGGCGGAAAGTGCGTAGATCCGGAATCTTCTGTATCTCTGGGGGGAGCTCGTTCCAGATGGTGGGTGCCCTCACAGAAAAGGCTCTCCCCCTGGGGGCCGCCAGTTGACACTGTTTGGCTGATGGCACCCTGAGAAGCCCCTCTCTATGGGAGCATAGTGGGCGGTGAGAGGCTATTGGTGGCAGAAGGCGGTCTCGTAAGTACCCCGGTCCTAAGCCATGGAGCGCTCTAAAGGTGGTAACTAAGACCTTGAAGCGCACCCGGAAGACCACAGGGAGCCAGTGCAGCTCGCGCACTGATGATGGGACAGACAGAATTAATAAGAGACAGGTGGTTTTCATATAACTCAACCTTGTGCTATGAAGAGGTTTACAGATGGCATCATTTTTAATTGAACCTGGAAGCTTATTGTATATATATATAGCTTTTATTGTCATTGTACATCATGTATACAACGAAATTGGTTATTGGAAGCCAATGCAGCTCATAGAGAGGTGGATTAACATGGGCATGTCAAAGTATGCCCATAACTTCCCATGATGCCACATTCTGGACCAGCTGCAGGTTTTGAGTGTTAGATGATAGCTTACACAAAGATAAAACTTTGCCTGTGCTAATTAGCAATGGTTCTGCAGGGTTCCACATTGAAGATAATAGAGCTGTTGTGCATGATGAATAGCGATAGCACTTAGACTTATATATCGCTTCACAGTGCTTTACAGCCCTTGCTAAGCAGTTTACAGAGTCAGCATATTTTCCCCAACAGGATCGAACTGCTGGCAGTTGGCAGAATTAACCTGCAGTACTGCATTCTAACCACTGCACCACCAGGGCTCCTAACATAAATGTGGAGTATTTTTTTTTCTTGTGTGTAAATATGGAGCAACTTCTAGACAGACGATGCTTATCTTAAAACAGCCTGCTACTCTTCTAGGAAAGAATACCCCTTTGGAGCTTGCAGTGGCTTTTATTGCCAACTGTCTATAAAATGCAGATATTTCCTTTACTGACTACAATTAGAGATTGCTTATTTCAAGCTCCCTTCTGAAACAGTAGAAACAATTTTTCTTCCTTGACAGTAATAACAGTATATATTGGTGAATAACATTGGTGAAAAATGCTACCAAAACATAACATCTCATATTGACATTTTATTTTAAGGTGAGAGTGGGGTGGATTCTGACAGTGATGATGAGACCAATGGTGCTGAAGAAAAGACAATAGTCGAATCAGCCAGTCAGTAAGTAATTTCCATAAATTAATTATATTTGTTCTTAGATAGCTTGTTTTAATTTTGTCTTGTACTAAAACTTCAGTTGGAAATACTTGTAAAATGTCAGCAAAATTCCAGCTAAAACTTTGTCAAAACATTGGATGAACTGTAGAAATGTTGGTGAAAATGTATGAAATCTTGCTGCAATATGACAAATGAACAACTGTTGTGGATATTGCAAAAATCAAATAATGAAAGCCTGCAAAATTCCATAAAAAGCCTCAGTGGGCTCTATGGGATGTGCAAATAAACACAATATTGCATGACAAAATATTGTGAAACCCAGATGAAAATACTCTAAAATATAAAAGACTGCAATGATGGTTAATTCTATACAGTAATTTTTTTTCTGTTATTTTCTAAAATGTGAGAAATAGTAAAAGTTTGAGAGTATTTGCTGTGATTCAGTTAAAATAGTACTTTTAAAAATATTGATCTTGCACAATGGAGCCCTACCTACTAACATTTTGCATATTTTTTATTTTTATGGTATTTCCAATAGTGATTTTTAATTGAACTTTGAGCAGATACTATTAAATCAAGAAGTAAAATTGCCTATCTACTAGATTCAAATATTAGAATTCAGATATTCCTCATGGGTATTTTAATCAGCTGTCCAGAATTGTTAGGAATTAGGCCGCATTCAAATATGATAAATACATCAATCACCTCTTCATGTATGCCGTATGCTTTTCCTTTAAGAACAACTTTTTTTTCTTGATTGCACATGTATACAATGAACTTATTTATTTCAAAGTAAATCCTAATCTTTAATATTGTTTCTCTGAACGTACGTAGAATTGCAGGCTTCAATTGAGAGTCATTGCATTCTGAACTGCATTCATAGGAGGGAATGGCATTATAAGTATTGGACTTGATCTTGAATTGTAACCTGCTTTGATACACCTGGGAGGCAGAAAGGTGTACATTCCAACAGTATCCCTTGTAAAGAGATTGTGTTACTTCTCAGATGGTAATCATTTTGAGTTATCTGAGGTCCTTGCTAAAATACATTTTTTGTAGATCTAATATTTCTTTCTGCTCCCCCCCAAATCTAATATAAACTTATAGTTGACTTGTTTAGTGGGAGTTATAAAACTTCAAAAGATACAGACATATGCTAATAGGACAATTATAATGCTATTGTAAAATCATAGCAGGAAAGGAAGAAAAATCAACCTAATCGAGGGCATTTTACTTTCATTGGCTTTTCCATAAGTGACTTCGAAATGATCTGTTTTTTTATTTTTTATTTTTTTTTAAAAAAAGCGACCAGGCAATATTTAATAAAGTCTTTTGATAGTAAATAGGTAATGGGGGATAATATTTTTATAATATTGTAGGTTGTGAGAAAGCAACGTTTTCCCAGAAATAAATATATGTAATGAATCTCTATCTTCTATCAGTTAGAAATGAATTGTGCGATATGACCTTTAAATCTCGAACAATCTTCATTTATGTAAAAAGGTATGCTGTAATAATGACTTTATCAGTTGGCGTAGTTTGGTTAAAATAAAAATTAAATGGGAAATGTGGTCCCTAAAATTTATACTATTTAGCCACAAGATGGCAGAAAATGCATGCATATTAAAAGACCAATTGCAGCCCTACATCAGAAATTCTGTATGTGACAGCAAAGAATTGCTCAGCGTTAGTGTTTTGGACAACACATTGTCTTATTAGTATATGTACAGTTCTGTTCTGCTGAAGTGGTTGATAGAAACCAGGTACTACATTTTTCTTCCAGATGGTTTTGTATCAGACTCTTCAGTTGTCAGAAAAATGACAGAGCTAAATAGGTTGGCTGTAACCATTTCCATGACCTCTACTACAAGCCATGTTATTAGAACTAAAGAAGTTACTGTGTAGCTCCTGCCGAACAACAATTTTGAGTCCCAAATGAAATTTGCCAGCAAGTTTCAAGGAAGAAAAAATTGTATTATTTTGAAACCTATACCCTTGGGTAGTTTCTTCCTCAATAAAAGTAGATTTTGGCCAACCATCCTTTTAGTTTGCTGATGAGGAGTGCTTGATTATAGGATTACCATCTAATTCAGGAACTGAAGTCTTTATCCTATGTTCAGTTAGAAAAAAGGATATAAAAAACTAGGGGTATAATTGTCAAGTACCCTTCTCCTGTTTGCCAGCATGTATGAAAAATCTATTTTTAGTCTGATTGTAATATACTTTGAAAAGCTGGTATTTAACTTTGTATTGGAAGGGTATTGCAATTTTAAGGACATTGCAATTTGAATTTAATTCTAATGAACTGTTTGCATGTCCAGCTGTGGGATAATTTCAACGTTGTATGTACCATTGATGTTTTGCATAGTTAAAATAGGTAGACATAGGTAAAAGTCCTGTGAATTGTATGGTATTGTGTATGATATTGTTATTTTACAAACAAGGAATCCTATGACATCTAAAACATTGCCAGAAATATTATGGTACAAGATTATTTCATGATAAAGTTGTTTGAAGAGCAGAAGACTCTTTGCTGTTTTTGTTTAACTCTGACCTGCAGTGTCATTGAGTGTTTTGATTGTGTATGTATATTAACATAATATGTACTTTGCAATTGTTAGACAAAATAATTCAGGTGTGAAATTACTTATATAAATATAAAATAATTTTATGACTAAAATGCTCATTAAGCTCAGCAACTGGATTAGTCTGCCTTGATTTCAAAATCCTGTGGAGAGCTGTATCCTGTTTTCTCAAGTGAGTTTTATAGTCTTTCTTTTCCATTACTGCTTTGTATAAAGACAATTAAACAACAGATAAGGTGCCTCCATTTAGCAGTTTCCCCTCAATGTACAGTAGACATTTTCACATGAAGGTGAAAGCATGTAAAAATCTCTTAAATTGGCCTCTCATCAACTCTTCAGAAAATGTGTTATTTTTCTTTCAGTTCTGTATAAACTGTCAAATGTATATGGCTATTTTAAAGAGATGTCCTTGCCACAGTTTTGAGCTAGGCTATTCCTTGTTGCAGATTGTATAGTTGTCTTTCCTGAAATCATCTTTCAGTTTTGAGAATATAGGCTAAATTACTGTTAAAATATATTTCTTATCATCACTGTGATGGTAGCAATGATTTTAGCAATTGCAAATGTAGCATTGAGCAGCACTGCATAGGTTTGAATTTGGTTCTTTATGCAGCAGTTCTCTGAGAATAAACCCTCAAGTGTGTTTTACATTTAGTTCTTATCCAACACTGTGGGCTTATTTTGAGGCATCCTAGTTTGATCCTAAAACTGCTTGCTGGGGAACCTTTTAATCCTATCTAATGTAGAAAGAATTAACTTTCAGATTCTGCTTCTGAAGGTAGTAACACTAGACAGATTCACTGCTGGAGGCTTTGTGGGCCTGCCATTCATAAAGGTAATTGTTTTCAGATGTTTTGTAGGTTATTAGTCCTTCTGAGTTCTTCAGTCAGACTTCTTTAGGACTTAAAATGCTGAAGGCCATTCTGGGAAGATGGAGCTGGGAAAGCATTTTATTAAGAAGTCAGAGATGGATTTTTTTTTCTAGAAAGGGTCATAACCCATTCAGAGAATCAACAATAGGTGTAGCACATATCTTTGGGGTGAGGCCAATGATCAATATATCACATATTACTCTATGCAGAAAATACTGAAAGTATTGATTGTCATCCCTTGCAGGGAGTATGGACAACCAGGCAATACTCCGAGTTGTACAATAAGCTTACTATGTTCCTGGACTCATTAGGTTGTGTAGTTGCAAAGAAAGGCGAACTTTCCTCTCTTTTAACTGTTATCTGAAATAAAGATTTTGAGTGGAAGCCACACTTCCTTCTTTTTCATATTTATTAAAAAAAAAAAAGACAAGAACCTGTCCTTCTTAACAGATTTTGGGTTATTTTGGGCTTTACAAATTTGGGCTATTTTATAATATAGTTCATATAGTGCACTTTCAATGACATAGGGTCTTCTTCTTATGCCCAAATAATATCAAAATATATTATGCCTTCAGAAACCTCTAAAATAATTCTTTAGATTCATTGCATCAAGTTTAGCTTTATCCAGCTTGGTTCCCTCCAGGTATTTTGGGACCATAAATTCCTAATTCTCAAGCTGGCTTGGAATTCTGAAAGTACTTGCCCTATCAGATCTAGAGGGAAAAGTAGCAGGCTAGGGAAACTAATGTAATTTTTTCTGAAAACTGTCAATATACCGTATATGCTTCATTGTATTACTATTATTTATGATTATGTCATTACATAAATCAAGCAATAAAATAGAGTGCTAAGCAGGTTTTGATATATTTGAAGTGCTTATTTTATAATTATAAAAGACAAACTAATTTAAATGTGTTCTTGTTCTCAGGCAAGACAATAGCATAGATTCTACGTCTTCTTTGAAGGAAGAAAACAAATTGGAAGGGCTGGATTCAAAACAAGGTAGGGATTGGAGAAAATCGAACTGTTTTGTGTTAAGTATCCTGATATGATGTGACTGAAAATTGGGTGGGTGGGGAATTTTCATCCGTGTATATAAATATATTGTAAAGACCCATTAGAACTACATATTTATTTGGAAAAATATATTTATATGATATAAAACTTTGAATTAGTTTTTAGTTGTCAGGTAAGGAGAAGAACAGGCATAGATGGATTGCACATTCCCATCAGGTAAACTCAATATTCATAATGTCAATTCTTTAACCATGGTTTTGACTATGAGTTCATACAGTTGTCGGTTTATATTAATGAATGGTTTTCATTCAACCATACAGGAAAAGGAAAATGGTGTTCCTAAACTCACAGTTGTGATAAAGATAAACTCCATCCTTTACTACTTCATAGACATAGGTCCGACTTTATTCTGTCCCTCAGTTGTGTGGATTTCAGCACCCAGAATTTTCATCAGATGACCTATCTTATCTCCTGTAGAAATTTTAAAATTGAAGCCTACGTATTTGATACCTCCGATTTGTAGAAGGCTGACCTAGAGTTTGGAAAGTTGACAGGAACAATGTGCGTTAGAAATTGTAGGGAACAGGATAACTTATTTGTTGGTGGCAATTGGTGGAGCCCTGGTAGCGCAGCAGACTAAAGCACTGTTATTAACATCAGCTGCCTGCAGTTACTGCAAGTTCAAATCTCACCAGGCTCAAGGTTGACTCAGCCTTCCATCCTTTCTAAGGTAGGTAAAATGAGCACCCAGATTGTGGGGCAATAAACTGACTTTGTATAAATATACAAAAGTATGAAGGCTATTGCTTAATGCATTGTAAGCCGCCCTGAGTCTTCGGAGAAGGGCGGCATATAAATCAAATTTTTTAAAAAAATTGGCTATGAATTCAATGAAAAATTCCATCTATGGGTCTGTTTGAATTTCAACAGTTCCCCATCTATTCTGTGATGATGATAGGTATGTGCTATAGGATTTGATCAAATAAGATCTTATTAGGATACATATTCCCACTAATTATTTCTTCAGAAACAAATGCTTTGTTTTTCTGTACTAGCCAATAAAGAAAATTTGACTTGAATAGAATAGAATTATGAGGCAATCAAGCTTTAGTAAAATGCTGTGACATTCTAAGGAATAGTTTAAATACTGCTTTTTTGCACTCTGGTATGACCTTTGAATTGACGTGTTTCCTGCAGATTTGCTCCCTTTCTTTTCTGCTATCAGGGGGAATTGATGACTTCTTGCAGATGATTACTTCTTTGTCCTTTTTATGACTTTATCAGCCACCGTTTCATGATGGCTTTAGGCAATGACAACAGTGCTAGTCAGGATGTTAGGTTTTAAGGAGCTTTGGAGAATGTGCAAGCATAAAATGGCAGAACTTAGTAACTGTTCTTATTCTACACTGTGATGCTGAAGATGAAAATTACAAAATCTAAGAAAAAGTGATTCAGAGAGAGAAATTAAGAACCCGGAAATAAATTTCACCATTTTAGTTGAAAGTATAAATGCAAAAGATAATGAGAGAAATACCACCAGAGACTTTTATTACTATATAAAATTACGGATGCAAAAAAGGAGAATAAAGCAGCTCAACTAATTAAACATTTCTTAAGCCATTATAGCCGCGTCATTATTGTGTAGCATACATCTGTGGAGATTTCAAGCACTGAAGAAAAAACCCAGGCTGATAACACTTCTTTTCAGAGTCAGATAACTTCCCATTCTTGAGGAAAAGGAGAAATGATTTCTCTAAAAAATACTTTTGCCTCAGTCCCTCAGGTCAGTTCTTCTTTCACTTGGAATAGTTGGCCTTTGACAAAAAGAGATGAGTATGCCAGAACATAACTTCTGATCTTTGACCTAGGCTTATTCAGTGGGGAACGTGATTTCTCACTGAAGAGTTTCTGATTAGTTGAACAATATATTAAATAAGTATGGACTATTACCCTGTAGCAAGGCAAAAAAATTTCCATTCCTTAATCCTATTGATTCCCATTTCATTTGGTCTTTCACACTTCTCATTTGTTTCTGGCTGTATGATATTTGGTTGCTTTTCTTAGGTAGAAAATTAAATATTGCATCTCGTAGGTACAAGGTGAATATTTGATTATTATGTTGACAACTATTTCTCAGAAGGCAATATCGATGGCTAGATTTTTCAGAGGTTCCAAATTACTGATTTTGAACTTTTGCTTTATAACTGTAGTAGTTATAATTCACCCTACACTCTGCCTATCCTGCTGCACTGCTCTATGGTGTCAGTTCATGAATGAGCAAAGCATGTTGGGAATATACACCAAGAGTATATAATCACAACACGGTCATCAGAGCATGAAGGTCATTCCAGCTGCCCAGTTAAAGCATGCAGGCAGCTATATTGGGCAGCAGTAATATAGGAAGATATCTGATGATCCCTTTAGTGACAGTGGCAAAGGCTGTGCAGGAGAAGGCAATGGAAAATGACTCCTGCATTTTACCAAAACTCCCTCCTCCACATATGCACATGATGCGTAAGATAAAGTGATTGATGATACAGCACCAGATGATGAGCCCTTAAGGCCAGATGCACTTAATGTGCTATTGAGGAAGAGCTCAGTGGTGTTTATGACATGGTTAGATTAAAGCCTTCAGGATGTCTAGTTGCTGATGTTGCCATGCAGACAAAAAAAAAAAAAACCCCAAACAAGCAAAAATAGAATTACAGTGGGAATATAGAATGTAAAAAATATGAACACAGGAAAACCAACACCATGAAAGGTAAAATAAAATGACTACAAATTGACATCTTAGGCATCTGCAAATGGAAATGGATTGGGACTGAATACTTTTAGTCAGAGCATCATACTATTTACTACTCAAGACATGAAAAATAAGGAACAACATTGCTTTCATAGTTAGGAATGGCTAACAGTTCACTTAGCCATTCCTAACCATAGCGTGACTACAGTTCAACAAGCAACCTAAAGGTAAAGGTAAAGGTTCCCCCCAGACATATGTGCTAGTCGTTCCTGACTCTAGGGGGAGTGCTCATCTCCGTTTCAAAGCCGAAGAGCTGTCCGAAGATGTCTCTGTGGTCATGTGGCCGGCATGACTAAACACCAAAGGCACACGGAACGCTGTTACCTTCCCACCAAAGGTGGTCCCTATTTTTCTACTTGCATTTTTTATGTGCTTTCGAACGTAGGTTGGCAGAATCTGGGACAAGTAACTGGAGCTCACCCCATTACGTGGCACTAGGGATTCGAACCGTTGAACTGCCAACTTTTCGATCAATAAGCTCAGTGTCTTAGCCACTGAGCCCCCGCGTCCCCAACAAGCGACCTAGTACTATGAATTAGACTTTATGGAAAACACTTTAATATGGCAGTTTTAAAGTTTATGCTCCAATCACTCATGTAGAAGAGAAGGAGGTTGGTGAGTTTTTATGATCACATTCAATTTCAAATTGCCCAAACAGATTAGTAGTGTATCAATGAAGACCTTGAAAAAGATAGCAAGATGCTGGGCTTTGTATGCCCACAAGAATCATACAAGCAGTGACTTTACATGTGATACTGTAGGGAAGTGAAAGTTGGACTTTGAAGAAACAGAATAGGAAGAGTATTCATGGTTTTCAATTTTGGAGTATTCACAGTTTTGAACTTTGGAAAAGATTCTTGAGAATACTGTAGATCATGGGTATCAAACTCATCATGTGATATATCACATTTTTTGCCTTTGCGGAGCCGGGGTGGGAGCAGTCTGTGTGTGACGCATTCAGTCCAGGGGCTGCCAGTTTGACACCCCTGCTGTAGATAGTCAAGAAAACTGACAAATAGATCATCAAAAATATCAACCCACAATTATCCCTCAAGATGCAAGGGACCAGGATCAAATGATCAAACTAGACCCATTATGTGAAGCTTTTCTCTAGAAAAGTCTATAATGCTGTTAATGGTAAAACGAAAGAGAAGTGGATATCTATCAGCAAGGCAGATAAACAATAGGTTGACCTTTGGAGGATTTGACGGGCCAGATTGGGAAGGATCCCTTTGGAGCATATCTATTTGTGTGGTCGCTAAGGTTCCATGACTATTTGATGGCACATAATCAGATGTAACTAAGAAATAGAAAATCACAATCATAGCTATATTTCCTACACTGCAAGTGTTGTTCTATGCCCAGTTTACGTATGATGCATTTAATATAGTAACCTAATGTCTTCTTCATCTGATTTTCCTGGTTCTGCTAAACCTGATACACACACACACGCACACACAAAATAAATATATCAGAAAGGTATATAGTTTGACAAAAAAAATAGTCTTAAAGTAACATTTTCTGAAATCAGAACTTGCAAATAGAGCTCTGTGCAGTTGAATAGGCATAACTGATTATTTTGGTTTTGCCATTTTGATATTACTGATGAAATCATAATATTTATATACTACAGCTGTCTATTTATCTATATTTCTAATATCTGTAAAATTACTTGTGCAATGCTTTACTTTCCAGGGTCTTTTTTAAAAAGAAAAGCTACTTCCTACTTTATGGGCAAGAGCATTTATTATACATTTCTCTTAGTGTTCAGTATTGATTTTTTTCTCCCTCCAGATACCAGTTATATCATAAAAAGTCAAAGAAAGTATGTTTTTCTAAAGATTTTCTTCCTAGCTCATAAACACAAGACCCAACGCACATACGCACACAATGAAAGTTATGGCATTCCTTTCAGAAAAGATTTAAAACCAGAATAGTTTTTTTAAAGGCTTTTTCACTCTACTTTTGACTTGAGAGAAAAAAAAAGTAGTCTTGCTTTAAGTTGTTTGGAACTGCTGTAGATTAATTTCAGTAATATGTATTCTGCTGCTCAGTCTTCGGACAGACTTTGATGTGAATGGAAAGTAATTGGTATAAAGATCAAATGCAGAATATTAAGTTTTTTTGTGTGTGTATAAAAGTTTTTATTTCTCTATCCCATTTTCCAAAAGAAGTATTCATG